GGACAGAAGGTAAATTATTACGAGCAAAACTCCACAGAAACACATGACATTAGCACTAATGACTTCTGGACTCCGTGCTCGAAGTTACACCGCCGCAAAGCGAGCTGTCAAAGCGACGAGTCCGGAACATTTAGCAATAACAGCAGGCTAACGTTAGTTAGCAGTTAGCTTTAGTCATCACTTTAGCAGGCTAACGTCACCGAGGCTACAGAGCAATACGGGTCTGTGTTGGTCTGCCAGCTGCCATTGGCGATCCTTTCGTGACAGAGAGGGAGAACTGTTGTCTGGTATGGCACGGCAATGCCGTGATTACTTTGCTTCACTAGACTGGGTTGCTAAGGGAGAGAAAAAAAATGCATTTTGCCATAAAATCTCGTTTACCTGCATCCATCCCGACGGTCTTCACCCTATCTTGTTTGTTGTTCTCTGCTCTCTGACCTGCTGGACCAATGGAAAGAGCTTCCTGCTGTGGAATTCAGAAAGAGGCGGGACTTTGCTTACGGCAGCCAATAGGATCTGGGGTGGCAGGGTTACTTCACCCTTAACCAATCAGTGCCATAGCTGACGTTGCAAGTGTCGTGCCAAAGAGTGATCGTCTTCCAAAACACTGACTGCGGCCCCTACAGTATGACTAAAATCAAAGTCAATAATGCATCAAAGTCAATTGATTTCATTCATGAACAAGCTCATAGGATAATTGCAAAAAAGCTATTGTATTTATTTTTTATATAAACACCATGTATAGCTCATGTTGATAACAGTCTAATTATTCTGTTACATACTTTCACCACATACATAAAGTTATATGTATTTGCGCGTTATGAATTTTTGATTTAGATGTATATGTATGGCACACTTGCTTTTTGACAGACAATCCCTTTTTGACAGTACCCCTGTAACGGTTTCAGGTTGACTTGTAAGTTCAGACACTGCAGGTAAATTGTATACATTTTTTAGCTAATAGATACCATCATGAAACTTTCCTACATTATGCACAATAGGACTATTGCTTTTTTTATTTCAAGTTTATTTAAAATGTATGTTTACATATTTAAATCAGGTCTATCTAAAAAAAAAAAAAAAAAATCTAAACATTACCCAGCCAACTTTAAAATNGCCAACTTTAAAATGATTTTTTTTCCTTACCTCTTTCCAGATCTTATAAAATACATGCAAACACCGGTTTTTCTTTCTTTAATTCTCCAATGGATCTATCAAAAAAAAAAAAAAAAAAAAAATCTAAACATTACCCAGCCAACTTTAAAATGATTTTTTTTCCTTACCTCTTTCCAGATCTTATAAAATACATGCAAACACCGGTTTTTCTTTCTTTAATTCTCCAATGGATTTATTTACTCATGGCTTCGAATTTCTAACTGACTTTTTTTCCTTTGTAGGGGGCAACCGAGTCCAGTTCAAGGAGAGGCCACCTTCTGTGTGTTAAACTGTGGATTACAGACAACTGTAGAAGCAGCAGAAAAACATGAATGACATGCAACATATACGTAAGAGATGTATGTTAAAATCACCTAAAATAAATGCATATATAGATATTTAACAAGAAAGCTCTGATAGAAAAAAAATGTTTGGTCTCTGTGTTCAGAAGATACTCTATACATGGATTTGACTCATCAGAGGTTTGTCTATTAAATACACCTGCACCCACTGTTCACTTGTGTGATACATTGCTGTACCTCCAGTTTCAGAACATTGTTTACTAAGTAGCATTTTGACAGTTGCAAACAATGCAAGTGAAATAGTCAGAAGTTGAACTTTTATTTTTAGCAAAGAGGGCCTCTCCAATCATGACTGGAATGAAATTTTATAAGGGAGGTATTGCATGGAGCTCTAAAGCACTTTGCGGATCAAATGTGTCTTCAGCTCACCATCAGAAGATCAATACATCAAGCTTTGTCCAACAACAGATAGAAAATTAGCTTCATCACAGATGCTGAACCGACTAACTAAAGTACACAAGAGTCAAATCAGCAAAAGTCCTGTCAAAAGAAGGCCGTCTAGTTGTGTGTGGACACCTGCAGCAAATCGACTCCACCCTGAAGAAGGAGCCATATCACTCCATTCGGCAGTGACATGAGCCAACATTTGTGAAGGTAAAAGATTCAGAGAGCGCACTAATGAGCCCAACTGCATCTCAAAGGTTTGACATGAAAACCAAAGAAGACCAAGTAGCACTGACTGTCGTGGACTCTCCTTCACCATCACCTGACCTCAACCCCATCTCACACGGTTACCATGGTAATCTGTGAGCCAGCTTTGTGATATCAAAAGAGACTTAACAAGTTAATGAATCAGAGCCCACATCAGATAAACTGACTGAATATTTGAAGACAGAGGTGGGAACTGAGGACGAACCAGCATCTCACACTCACACACTCTCACCTCTCTCTAATTGAAACACGCCCCCTCGGCTCCTCTGGGACCTGTTGTGTTGTTGTTATTGTCGGGGTTCTCTCTCGGGGCCGTCTGATTGGCTGAGATGTTTATCAGTCATCAACCCCACGCCCACTCATCATTGGCTTGTTACAGTGACACTTCCCATCCCTCCCACCCTTGCTGTGACCTCCCTCAGTCGCTTTTGTTGTGTCTCCCTGCTGAACTGCAGTAGACAGGCAGGAACACTGCAACAACGACAATGTTAGACACATTTAGAAGCAGTAAGTGTTTAAGGCAGTTTACCTTTATTTCTCAAGTATAGGCATTGAGTTTAGCCTACAGTTTCTACTTCTGTGGATTAATTCTAAGTTAGAGTAACGTACAATTCTATGATATCACAAATTAAAAAGTGTTATAAACTTTAACTGTTTCAGGAGGGGATGCAGCGAGTACGGCTTTGTGCAATATCACTTTAATCTAAACTGCAAGCTTTTATGGAATGTCGCCATTTTCTGCTTTGATAACTGTTTTTATGTTTAATATAAGAATCTTTGTCTTTGTGAAAGAGCCGTCAGATGGAAATACTCCAGAGGTGCATCATTTTGTATAATTCCATTGATATTCAGCCTGACAGATTTGATATCTATGTTGTGAAACAGGTTCCTCCTTCCCCCTTTTCACTATGCTCTATCAGTGATCTTTCGATCATTGAGTTTTACTTGTGTATTTTAACATAAAGTTGATTGGATGGTGAGTTTGGTGTTGTTTTGTCTACTTTCTGCTCTGGTTCTGCCTACGTTGCATGGAAATTAACTGTTAATCTGGGATAATGAAGACAGGTTTGCCAGAGACTTGAAGAAAGCAGGGGAAGATGGGAAGGTTCATATTTCAGGTGGATGTATGCAGAAATCAGATATTCCATTTATATTTGTTGTCACCTGCATGAGAATTTAAACCTTTATTTTTCTGTTTTTGCTTTGTGGGTTTCACTCCACAGCATCAGTTCATAATGGCCGATAACAGGACGCTGCACCTTATTGAGGTTAATAGTCCTGCACCTTTCTTCAGTATCCAGTTTTGTTGTATATATAGTTAAATGATTCTGTCAGCAGCACATTACATTTTAATAACCTGTTCAAAAAATTGGTTTTAAATCAAAGGTTCACCACTGCCCTTACTTTGAAATGCCTCTATTGCAGCAACAACTTCATACGTCAGATGAACAGAGCAGTACTAAAAATACAAACTTCTGACACAAATTGGTCATACTGATCCACATTGTCTGTATATTTGTAACAGTCATCACTTAAATGTGGATTTAGAGGAAAAAATGTGCTTCCAAAAGGCTAAAATAGAAAACAAATTACAGAGAACTCAATAAAAGCTGTTAGCCAAAATTGTATAAACAGCTGAAATTACAAGCTAAAATATGAATAAACAATTGGAAATTATTAGCTAAAAGAGTTGCCAACAGTTAAAACAGTAGCCCATAGCATGTCCTAACAGTTAAAACTAAAAGTGGATAAACAAATAAAATTGTAGGCTCCAGTGTGGAAAACAAATGTAAATGATTAGCTTACAGTATGGATACACAAATGAAATTACGAGCTAAATATAACTGACAAGCTGTTGAAATAGCGAGCCAGAACTGAGAATAAATAGTTCAAATTGATTAGCTAGAAATATGAACACCAGTTAAAAATGTTAGCTAAAAGTGGATAAACTGCTAAAATTGTTAGCTAGAGATGAATAAACAGCTAGAAATTATTGGCTAATTGTGTTTCCAGCTTTTAAAATCGCTATTAGAATTGATTAAAAGTTGCTGGGGGGCTGCTGTAGCTCACCTGGTTGAGCTGGTGTGCTATGTGTAGGGCTACAGTCCCGATGTGGAGGTCATGAGTTTGAATCCCACTCATGGCCCTTTCCCACACATTCTCCCCCACTCTCCTGTCTCTCTCTCACTTCACTATCAAATACAGGCACAAAGGCCAAAAAAATAACTTTAAAAATAAAAAAAAGTTGTTAATGTTAACTGTAAGCTACGAGTGGCTAAACAGCTAACATTGTGAAGTAAAAGTGTTGATAAACAATTGAAATGAATAGCTAACAGTGCCATTTTTATTTATTTGTATTTTTATTTTTACCTTTACTTAACCAGATAAAAGACCCATTGAGATTGAAACTTCTTTCACAAGGGTGACCTGGCCAAGAAAGGCAGCAGCACATGTCCACAAATAAACACAACAAAAGAATCACAAAATAAACAAATGAAATTGTTAGCCAAACATAATTGACAAAATGTTGAAATAACTAGCCAAAAGTGGAAATAAATAGATGGAAATATGGCCACCTGGTAAAATTGCTAGCTTCAAGTGGATACGCAGTTAAAATTGCTAATAAACTATGGAGAAAAATTGGAAACTGTTCGCTAAAACTGTAAATAAAGAGTTGGAAAGTATTTGCTAAAAGTATGCCCTGCAGTTAAAAGTGTTAGCTAAAAGTGGTTTTATAGCGAGAATAGCTATTTCCTTTAAATGTTGATTTAGAGAAAATAAACAGTGATTGGAGTGTTTTTTAATGCTGACAGAAAAAGAAGTTGCAAGAAATTTAAAGTGTAAATTTTATTCATCTGTATTCTCACAGACTACAACATAAGGTCTTTGCATCATCACAAGTCAAAGTATCAGTGACCAACAAAGATTTTTCTAACCAACATCACAAAGAATGTTTTTTTAGGTGAGTTAAAATAATAATAGCACCAAAGGTCCCTTTCACATGAAAGAACCTGAATATGGTTACCGGTTCTTCTGCTGGACAGCAGAACTTAATATTAACATATAAAAACAACACACCTTCCCCTCAACACATTAAACACACGTCTAATAATTCATTAACAATGACTACGCTGATAAATGTGAATATCACATGACTTTGCTGTTCTCAGTCTCAGTCCACAACAACAATGTTATTTTTAAAGGACAGTACAGTTGTTTCTGCATGTTTGTAGCAGTTTGTAGCTCATTTCACTATGAACAAAAACAGAAGGACAAAACACACAGCCTGACAGAGAGATCTACAGTCTATAGTCACCTTTTAGTTTTTGAAATCATAATCTATGTGCTTTTCTGTACATCTTTACATGAAGCAACATTCTGAAATAGATGTCAGTACCAGTCCTTATGTCTGCAGTGTGACCTCTGGCAGCTTCTGCGATCCTTTATCCATCTGGATCAATAATGAATCTGTCTGCTGCATGACGCCTCTTGCTTCCAACCTTGACCCTTGAGTTAATCAGTTGGGTTGCAGAAAATTTGGAGTCATTTAATAGAAGAAATGCCAAAAAATGATGAAGGTTTCAGCTTATTTAAACACAGAAGTGTCTCAGGTTTCATATTTGTGTCTAAGAATCTGAATTAACTGACTGAGAGAAAACAGGCTTTTAAATGAAATAAAAATCACCTAAACCTGGATTTATACCATGTGCCATTGGCATCACTCTAACCCGATTCACATCAGGTGGGTTTTCAACTCTGGGACGTTCAGTCCTTGTGGATGTGTCCATGTCAACTTGGTCTCTGCTGGATCTGCTCAGCTGTACTGGAAGTACTGCAGGTGACTCTGATCACCCACCAGGCTGTCAGAGTCTCCTTCCACTGAACTCTCGCAGCTGAAGTTTGGGGACAGTGTCCCCTGCAGCCCGTCCTCATCCTCCAGGCTCCCTGCCCTGCCTCGGGGGGCCACCCTGAAGTCCTGCTCTGTTAGCAGCTGGTCCAGAAAGTTGATGTACCTGAGGGCGAGGCGCAGGATCTCGTTCTTGCTCAGCTTCCTGTCGGGCGGGTGGGTGGGGATGAGACGCCGCAGCTCAGCAAACGCCCCGTTGACATTCTGCTGCCGCCAACGTTCCCGACTGTTGGTGAAGATCCGACGGACAACACGAGGACGGGAACCTGAGGGGGAGGAGAGAGACGAGAGGGGAGTCAGCAGGAGTCCAGACAGCCAAATCTGAGGAGCCCCACTGTCACGCAGGACCACATGAAGAGGAGTCACTGTTACACGTCAACAAAAGACAACTGCCATTATCATATTATGACAATATATTCTAATTGTATACAATAATATGACACTTTCCTTACCAAAGCTTACGTGAAAGAAAAAAAATATTCAATATGTAAAAAAAAAAAGAGAATGAGAGCAAAATTAATAAATATCATATTGTAAAAAAAATTACATATCATAAAAACTATATGAAGTAAGTATTTTAAAAGGACATCCCTTGTGCTATTATAATAGTAATAAGTAAAGCTAAACTGTAAGGTAAAATGCTGGCAATTTACAATTACACCCATAAACATTTTTTTTTTTTTAATGAAAACTTTTGTAGCCTTTTAAGAACTTACATACAATATAATTTATTTTTTTTTAAACTAATACTGCCTTGTAAAAATACAATCATGGTGTACAGTCATTATAGCCATATAGTCTTGTATTTTTTTTGTAATTTTGTTTGTGTTTTTACAAAAAAAAAAACCTTTACATTGTAGAAAGGTTGATCTGACTGTTGTATGAGAAGGAGAGTTTTCACATTTTAAATTGATAGTATTGATTGTAAATTTAAAGATGCCTCAAACATTTTAGGAAAATGTGAAATCTGTAAAATTGAACGGAAACTGACATCTATTTTGTGTAAAGCTGCAATGATTATGCGTTAATTAGATCAAATTAACAACAGGAAACTATAATCTGCCAATGTTTTGATAGTCAAATAATGATTTCAAACAAGTATTACAACGAAAACCTAAACAAACACTTTTTTTTTCAAATTAAACAGTGAACTCACCATCATTGTAGTTGGTCTCATATGGAGTTGTTCTATGTTTCATCATGATGGATGGATTTGGATCTCTGCAGACACACAGACAACAACGTTTAGCTACTAGCAATACAAAAGTTCACCTCACTGCTGTTTCTATGCAGCAGGTGGATCTCTTAAAACCTCATCTTCCTAAATTCTGAAAAATGTCCAGAGGATGAAGACTGCTCCCCTCAGCTTTTCAACTCCCATTTTAGCATACAAAACAAACAAACAGAAAGATATCAGCAACATTCTGAAGCTAATACACTATAATAATTGCCATTGCTCTTCCTGTTTTTGAAAACAGTGTACACTAAAATAAAAAGAAAAAGTGTGAAAAACTGCAATATTCTGAAGGCTAGAGTGCCCCCAAAATTGTGGACATAATGGAAAACAACAGTCTCACGAAAAAAAAAGAAAACACAGTAATTTTCCATAATCCCGCTGTTTAATGAAGTTTTTTTTCCCCAGTGATAAATAATAAATTTTAGAAATATATTTACAGTAATAACGCTGAACATAACACTTTCACCTGCTAAATAAAAGGAGATATTTGTGGAATAAAAAAAAGAAGAAGAAAAATGTGTGGTTATTCACAGTTTGTTTATTTATTACTTTAAATGTAAACACTGACATATTTGTTTCTGCAAGCGCACCTTCTTGTATTTCAAATATGAAAAATCTGTAAAATTAAAAGGAAAAATTCTGTAAAATTCCATATTTCTGAAGTGATTAATTATATTATTAAAAAGTCAACCAGTGACTCACCAAAACCTGTAAAATAGTAAATCCACACTGGACGTGTTGTGATGCTGTTTGGAGTCGTTTGTTTTCTTCATATTAAGTTAAAAACTGAACAAAAAAAATATGCACAGCATGTAACCTGCAAGCTGCCTTAAGTTTAAGAGTTTATAATATTTAATATCCAGAAACATTAGAACGTGTTTTTCTCACCGGTTGCAGGTGTTGATTTGATGCGCAGCTTCGTGCGGCAGGTCCGGTGCAGGCAGCAGCAGCAGCAGCGGAGGACTCAGGTGGATCATCCGGGTTTGGCTCCGGGGGTTTTGCAGCAGACAGGCTGGAGTCCGGTGAGCTTCAGGGACAGTCCGCGTCCCGCCGCCTCTTTATACCGACCAGCGTCCCCCTTCTGTGTGTCGTGACGCGTCGTTTCCATGGAGATCCCGTCGATAATGACAGTCTCATTAAAGTCATTAAACTCAGGGTCCCAGGAAGCAGCACCCCAGGGACCTGCAGGGCTCAGGGGCCGCCCCTGTCTCCGCCCTGCCCCTGCCCCCACTGCAGGAGTCGTGTTTTCCGGGTCCTCTCCTCCTCCTCCTCCGTCACGACCTGGAGCTCTTGGTGTCATGTCCACCATCACTTCCTTCACTCAGGTCCAGGCTGCACAGATCATAAAGTACCAGCAGTATAAACATTGTGTTTGCACTTTGTGTCAAATGCTCTGGCCACTGTTACTATTATCTCCACCAGAAGAACCCTTTTCCTCAAATTGAAGGTTTTCAGTCTTAGGACACCTAATCCACTGAACACTGAGCGTTTTCCAACAAACACATCATAGCAGCTCCATATATCATTCAGACTCTTAGTTTATAACCTTGATTAAATTCAGTCTCTTTGGAAAGGAATTGTGCTGTTTAATTTCACACTTATAACATTTGGATAGTTTCAAAACAATCTATTAGAATAACCAATTATGGCAAAGTGGAAAAGTGTGTTTAAAGTACATAAAATGCCAGTTCAACAAATTGTTCCTCCTCCACTGATTCCTTTTCAGAAAAATCTTAAAATGTACACGTTTTAAATGGGTTGCTCTTATTGGTCTTGATATTTTAGCATTCTATTTTTATTTTATTTTAGAAGATGATCTTACAAGTTTCTAACCTATTTTATATTTTCTTTTGTTTTGCTATATGATTTCAAGTCACTTTTGTCAGGTCTCAAGTAATTTTGAACAGTTTTGAAGTTTTGGATAATTTTTAAGTAATTTTGGACATTTTTCAGGTAATTTTGGACAAGACTTATCATGGGAAAAAAACAAATGATTATATCCTCATTTTATTCATTAATTAACTTATTTTAATTTATTTAACTTAAAACCTCTGAGAACACAATAAGGGACAAGCCTCATTTTCAGTGTTGCTGATGGACATGCAGTAAATACATACACACTTAAAATCAAGTAGCAATAAAAGAAGAATACATGGCTATATGAGATAAAAACAGACTTTAACCAGAAGGTCCTTAGTTGAGGGATATAACTGCCCCTGCTGCCCATGATATGCATTTTTGAGAAAAATGACCTTTGACCTCTCGTGGAGCTATTTTCACTGATTGACCCCAAAATGGAATCATTCTGAGAGGCCACTCCTAGCTCACCTGTAAAATATCAACTTATTAGACCTTAGCACTCCAGCCAGAGACTGATCACAGACACATGGGTGGGACTGATTGCTCTATAGATGACTGATGACTCCTGGTCAGGGCCAACTATAACAATGCTGAAAAATAGGAATTAAATTCATACATTTAAATAAAGTGATATTTCAAAAGCTAAATATTTACAATTTCTTTAATAACTTTAATTATTAATAGTTAGAAATTCGTAGTTATGTGATTCAGAACATTTTAATAGATTATCTGAAAGGAAATGTCTTCACAAGACATTCCTGATTGACTGATCAATCGATTGATAAGTTGATCCTCTTGTGTTTTTACTGAATTTAAACACTGCAATCAGTGATGTAAAGTGTCTTTTTGTGTGATACATAAAATGTTTCTGACATATTTCTGCTTTTATTTTGGTGATAGCGCGGCATCAGAAGCGCGCGGCTGGAGGAGCATCAGGTGAGCAAATGTGTTACTCGCGCAGTTTCAGGTTCTCTGTTTTGAGTCGGACACGGACAGACGGTTTGTTTTTCGTTTTCCACCGTAAGTTTTTTGTTTGTTTGTTTGATGCCGCTAAGTCCCTAAGTCGTTCAAATCGGGTTCTATCCGTTAAAACGCAGCTCTGCGTCGTTTCCGTTGAGTTTTCCGCTAATTGACTCCATTTTGTGAGTTTAGCTGTGGGGGATGCAGCTGATAGCTACCAGCAGAGGACCAGACAGGTGAGCAGACATTTCCGGCGTTTTCTGTATGTGACCGTCGTTTTTGGCAGTCTGTTGTCATTTGGACAAGTTTCCAGTCATTGGTGACTGTTTTTTGGAGTGTTCTTGAACAGTTTCAGAGTCATTTTGGATAAATTCGAGTAATATAATTTTGGACACATTTTAGGTAATTTTGTGGCAAGTTTGGCCATTTAAGACATTTTTCAGCACTTTGGACAATTTCTGACTCCCATTTCTTTGAGTCTTTACACTCTACCTTTCAGTGATATTGGGTCATTTTCAAATAATTTTGGACAAAGTTATTTTGGTCACATGTGATGTCAGTTTGGACCCATTTTGTCATTCTGGACAGTTTGTGAGTCATTTTTAAAAACTTTTTTTGCCTTTTCTTTTCTTTTTTTTAAACACTGGACCAATTCTGTTTTGTTTTATGTGATTTTTGGGATGTACTGACAACAATCACTTAATTCATTTACCACATTGTGCCTCCTTTCAGCAAATTAATCAAAGTTTCACTGAGAATGTTAAATTTTGTTGGACAAAATATTGTAAAGGCAGTTCATTTTGCCATGACTGCAAAGCCCTGGGTTTAGCCCTGATTTAAAAGGACTGTTTCAGCGTCTGTAGCTTTAAATGCAGCTGAGCTGCTGCTGTCTGTGCCCCCCCCCAGAAAGAAGATTGGCTGTGCATCTGTGATTGACACCATGGAGCAAAGCTGTCCAGCAGCTGACACAGATGTGATTGAGTGTGTGGGATCAGACCTTTCTGTCCCTTCAAACTTTCTCTTCAGGCAGTTCATTTACATGGATATTTTATTAAACTTACAGCACAGCTGTTGTTTCTAACTCATGTGTATGGTGAAATTCTAATAACTTGTTTAACTGTAAACTACATTGTATAATTCATCCTACATCCACCCAACCGGTCGAGGCAGATGGCCGTCCCTCCCTGAGCCTGGTTCTGTCGGAGGTTTTTTTTCCCCTGTGGGGGTTTTCGGTTCCTTCCCACTGTTGTGGACTGCTTGCGGACTGCTGAAGCTTATAGGGAATCCAGATGTTTTGGATTGTTGGGTGTTTCTGTTTCTGCCTTTGTGAAGCGCTATGAGATGACTTGTTGTTGTAAATATGCGCTATACAAATAAAATTGAATTGAATTGAATTGAATTGAGTTTGTCAGACAGCGTTGCGGTTATGCCGCAATAGTCAGTATTCAGTCTATAATTTTCTTTCTAATCTCCTGAGACAACTCTCTCCTTCGCTTCCTCTGGTCCATGTTTAGTGTGGTACACACCATGTCAGCAAACAGCACAGTGACTACTTGTAGCCCTATAAATAGGTCGACTGACTGATTACAAGTTTGTAGACACCTGTGATGCTAATTAGAGGACACACCTTGATTGAACATGTCCCTATGGTCACATTATTTTCAGTCTTTTCTAGGGGTACCATCATTTTTGTCCAGGCCGGTTTCATGAGTTTATTTTTTAAAATAATTCTGCTGAACCATGGTTCAAAAGCAATGTCTGATTTTCACTGGATAAATTTCATAGAATTTTTATTTATTATTACGTTTGCCAGATTCAAGTTATTTCTGTGACCGTTGTGGGTTTTTCTTTCATTAACCGAGGGGTACCAACAATTTTGTCCACGTGTGTAATAGAGAAGCCATGTTATTAATACAACCTATGACATTTTTGCGACATTTTTCATGACGCACTATACTATGAGGTTTTTTGACATTTCAGGGTTTTTATAGATGAACCATCCCTGACACTGCAAGTTCCAACACCTGGTTGTGAGACCTGACGGGTTTCAGTGCTGTTAAAATATCTCAGTGATGTGAGAAACTAAAATTAAGATGACAAAAAAGATCAGTGTGCAGTTTGTCTTTCAGCTGTATATTAGTCAGCAGGCAGTGCTGAGGTTCAGGTGGCGTCTCCTTCTGGCTACTCATCTGCACAGGCTCTACACTGTGCTAAGGAAATATAGTTTACAGAGTATTACTAACTTGTACTTCCCACAGAAACTTAACAAACTAACACTATTAACTGATTAGTCAACAGACAGAAAGTTAACCAACAACCCCTTTGATTAATTTATAGTTTGAACCATTTTCCAAGCAGAAGTTCCTCTCAGAAGTGAGGATTTGGTGTTTTTTTTTTTTTTTAATTACATTTTTATTTATTAAACAAAACCAACACTTTGTCACCAGCAGCAGTTTGAAATGAATTTTCACTATTTTTGGTCCGCTTCTAGATACTTAGTAGAAAAAATAATCAGTAGGTTGATGAATCTAAAATGAAAATAAGAGTTGGTGGCATCTATAACAAAAATGCTAATTTTATAATCCATAGTAAAAAATTAAAATATTATAACCAGACATGAAGAGATCATTACGCTTGTCATCTGAAGGACAAGATTAGAAAAGTAGTACACCAAAGTCAGTATAATTTTATTTAGATAAAGACAGATGAGGCATGATGTTAAGCATTTGCTCATTCTGTAGGTGAAAACATTGATTATTGCATGATGTTTATCAGTTGTAGTTAAAAAATGCTTGTTGTTGAAGTCTTGGATGGCGAGAGTGAACCTTTGGCAAAGACGTCCCACCTTTTAAAGGCCCCTCGGATATGGGACCTCCAGACTGAAAACCATGAAAAACGCTGCCTCCACTTTAATTTATCAGTGATAATAACCCACTCATATACTACAGCACCTACAAGGGACATTTTCTGATTGAGGAGATATAAAACACACGGAACAGTTGCAAGTTGTTTAGAAAGTATATTGTACAGTACGGAGAAGTCTTTCAGCATCACAAAGAAGAAACACAAGAGTAGAGTTTTTGTAGTAAAAGAGAATGGAGAACTAATTTCCATTGGTTGACTATTGTAATATTCAGTTAGTTAGACCAATAGGAACTTCTCAAAAAATGTTAGAAAACATTACTGCAATTCCTGCATGACAACAGACAACTCTGTGATAATGAGTTAAAAAACTCCTCACAACACTGTGATACAAATACCCATGAACAAAGAGATACTGGACTCTGTCGACGTAATGTGGCGCTACGCTGACTTTGGCCGGTGTTATACTCTGTTCATAAGCATGTGAGGGTCAGCATGACCTGCATTTCATCTTTTGCAGAAGTCCGTAAGAGTCCACCAGCAAACCCCTTTGTGAACGTCCAAAATTTGTATTTGCATGGCAACTAAGTTTGCCTTGTTTCACATCGTATGTCCTTCAGTGTAATTATTTTTTATCAGTAATAATAAAATCTCTAAAATCACATCAGAGAAAACTGAAAATACAATGACCAAAATAAATGAGGAGAAAAATGTTCAGAATAATTGTCTTTCAGTCTGCAGGCAGCTGTTGTGTTTGAGTGACGTGCTCTGCTGTTCACTCTTTCACGCACACTCCCCTATACTGAGAAATGTACTGAGCGCAAGCCGACTTTGACCAGTGTTATGATTTCCGCATCCGCAAGCATGTAAAGGTCAACATGATGTAAATGTCCTCATTTGCCCAATTTTCTGAGAGTCCCCCCTGGGGACGTTTGTTTGAAGGCCCAAATTGGTGTCAGCGTTTCAACTAGTGTGCAAAATGCCAAACTACTATTTATGGAACGCATTCTCTAAGTGGACAAGAAAGTAGTACAATAACAAAAAGTACCTTTCCGTAGTGTCCACAGCTGTCTGTGTGCGCATCTGCAAGGGAGTATAATCAAAGATTAAGCCAAAATCATAATTGTCTGTACAGGGCTGCGTGATGTTAATGGTGTCATCTGACAAAGTCTGCGAAGGTCCATGTGGAGCTTCAATATTGTGACTGCATAAACTGTTCTGCACTGCAAGCACGCCAACTGTGCATGTGCCAGAAAAAACAATGAATGCCTGCGACAAGGAGAAACTCTGTGAGGCGATTATCATCCATATTTTTAGCATTCATCTTTAAAAGAGTTGTTTTTGAAGCAGTTACGGCTGGACTTTAGGGGTACTATGTTTCACAAAAATTTGGAAAAGTTGGCAAATTTTTCTTGTCTTTTTTTTTTTTTTTAAACGTTTTTGAATTTAATGATTTAAAATCCTTTTGGAAACATGGCTAGCATGTGCTTTAGCTCAGACAGAGGAATGGATTTGTACCTATGATTGTATGGCCCAGTTGCTGTTGAGGAATAGGACCATGTTGAGGTGTTCTGGCTTGATGGAGCTCCTCAGGTTGCAGAACTGATCCCCGTCTCTGGAGAAGGCTCTCTCTAAGGGCACAGCAGTCGAGACGACCCCAAGTTTCTTCACAGCAAGCTTGCTTAATTCAAAGAATTTCTCCTTTCCTGTGTGCCTCCACCACGCCAAAGGGTTGGACTGCTCTGCATTGGGTGGGTAGGCCTTGTATTTGTCCAGTTGGACTTTGAGCCTGTCAGTAGAATAGGCTATGCCTGCACTGAGCTCCGTCATTACCTTGTTAATTGCGAGGCGGTTGTTGTCGTCTGTTAGTTGTTTTTTGTATCTTGGGTCGAGGAATGTGACGGTAGCCAGTTTGTGGTTGTTGACATCGCCGAATTCATGTTTGTATTTTGACAGTAACATTTTGGCAACATCATTCTTTCTTTTTGCTTCTTGTCCAAGTGCATCCATGAGCTTCATCATCACCGGTACCATAACCGAAATGGTCTCAAATCCTTTGCCTTTCATCGTAGAAATGGCTTTCTTCAGAGGTTCTAGAGCTGATATGAAGTTCTTGATTTTCTTTTTTTCATTTTCGTTTAGAATTAAATCCGTCTGTCCCCTCTCATTGAGCACCATCACCATGAACCGGTACTGCTTATCCAGTCGTTGAAGCATGTCCAGCCAAGTGAGCCATCTGTCTCTACAACACATGATCAGCTCCTCTTGATTCGCTTGCAATTTGCCTTGCAACTTGCCTTGCAACTCTGTGAGCTTCTTCTCAGCTTCAGAATCATACTTGAAGAATTGGATGATGTTGCAGCACTTGTTGAGAATGTATGACAGCTCAGCGTTGTTCATCACATCCTTAAATACTGCATTCAAGACGTCAGAAAAGCAGGGCATGTGTGTCCATCTTGTTTTATTTCCTTTTAGCTGTGGCATGCCAGCTGTGACAACACTATGAACCTTATCTGTCACATTCCAAGTTTCCGTGATGGCTAAGAGCTGATTTAGTATGTTGGGCATGGATTCATCTCCAAAGAGGCTGGTAGTTTTGAGTATGTAGGACTTGAGACTTCCAAGGTTGTCCACGAAGTGGCACCCAACGGTTAGATAGGAGTCTTCAGATCTTGAAGACCACAGCTCACATGTCAACACGATGTCTTCAGCTGAGGTCAAGGTGCATTGTAGCTCTTTTTTTTTTACTCTCATAGACCTTGAGAAGCAGTGAACGCATCATAGGTTGGGTAGGAATTTGCTGATCGGGCTTTAATGCTTTTGCAAATTCAAGAAAGTTTGCATCTTCTGTGATACTCAAAGGCTGCAGGTTAGATACAATCATCTTAAGCAGCCGTGTTTTGACTGTTAGTATTTCCAGGTCCCCAGCTGTGGAAGAAAACAGATTTAAAGTTCAGGATATACTTTGGTATTATGCTTATTTCCAGCATGAACAACAGTGACAGGCAAAAACTATTTATAGATATCAAGACCCTTTAAATAGGCCAGCAGAAGAGATGATGCGTTGGATTTGAGGGGGAAAAGTTCACCCATAAAGTCCCATAACACCATAATATCCCAAATAAATGAATGATTTGTCCCAAATCTGACGGTTGTGAATCTGACGACATCTTTTAATTCGTTTATTTATTGCTTTCTTAACAGTAAAATTCATGATTAATGGTAATATACTACAAACTACTGTACCTTATAGTACCATCAAATGTGTTTTTATTGTTACTTGGATACCTCTTGCTATGTTAATAGTTTATTTTGGCAGCAGGCTGTCTCTTTTGCACTCTTTGATGTTTTTGGCTAAATAATATTTTGGAAATGTGGAAAAATCCGACGGCATGCAGTTCAGACTGGTCCCTTGGTGACAATGATGCGAACTGTCACCAGTGGCGATTCTAGGTTTTATTTTTAGAGGGGGCCAATGCTATATTTTGGGGGGCACCCAATTACTGTGTTATTCGTTGATGTAGCCTATATCAATTTCTCAAGAAGTGTTCCTTACTTGTATTCACATTGTATGACTAAATATAGACCTGACCTGATTGAATAGATCTAACAAAATAAACATGATCTGGAAAAGGTTTCTGGTCAGAACATACTTGCACAATATGGAATGTACAGTAATTGCTTCTTTTAAAAGCAACTCATGCCACTCAAACTGAATCACAGTGTGAAGACTCATGTTAATAACAGCCCGATGGCTCAAGGTACATTACAATGATACATACATGTGAATACACACATAAACACAATGCTCTCCTCTTTTATATTAACAATGTTGTTCTTCATTTGCTCTGAGGAATGTCTGCCCTGCTCTGCGTTTCACGTGGTGCTGATGATGGGCTACAGCTGCTGGACTGGTCCTGCTTTGGATGCCTGTCCTCAGAACTGTCCCCCTGAACCTGTCTGGTTCACTGGTCTTACCCTCACATGGCTTCTTCTTAACTCTGTTCAGGACTTTTGGGGTCTTTTGGACCATTTGGTTTAGGTGACAGGTATTGTGTTTTGATTTTTAAAGATTTTATTTTTAAATATAAAAATAGGGGCATTTGTCATGCATTTGGAGCCAGAAATATGTCAACTTATCAGAAAATGTATTTAACATAGAATAAAAGCCTACAATGAATTCCAACAATTATTTTGCACATATTCTTTCTTGGGGTCCAATGGACCCCCAAAGACCTTCTACGAATGACAACATGAAAGTCCTGAATAGGGTTAAGACAACTAACCAAGCTGGCTGCACCTCTTTCTGACATTTCTGAGCCCTGCTGCTGCTGTAACAGAGACTAAATGACACCATTCAGCTGTAACTTAAACTTGGGATTGGGAATG